CAAACCGAACCCTGAGGGGCCCGGAGATGGCCCTGCTCATCTGGCTGAGGCTTCAGGAGGCCTGGGCTCTGCAGGCAGGGTAGGGCAGACCCGCGGAGCTGGGGCACTGGCAGCATCTCCCCGTCTCCCCCCCGGAACAGTAAGCCCTGTTCAACGTGTAGGTCACCTGTTCCATCTACAACCCGGTGACTACCCCACCCTCCCCCCTCATGGTCCTCACCCCTCAAGACGTGCTGCAGGACTCAGGCCCACAGCCAGAGATGACCTCAGGAGGGGCTGGAGTCTAAAAGGGGACCCCTCTCAGAACTGGAAAGGGCATCTCACTCCCCACACCCTGGAACATGATGCAGTACACTCCTAGGGTCAAAACATTCACCCTGGAGATACCATAATATTCATCAGAAACTGAGCAGGGATGAAGGTTCCCATGAACCCCAACTTCATAAGAAGGAGGCTGACAGGGAGGCAGGTCCCGCGGAAGCTGCTCCAACTCTGCCTGCTCTCTGCACTACATCCCCTCCGGGAGCACCAGCTGAGTCCACTGCAGGGGTCCAGCCAGCCTCCTGCAGCCGGGCCTGGGCCTCCTCCCAGTGCTGCCTGTGGTGGGTCAGCCCCACCCTCCACCCCACCCGCTCTCAAGCCAGGATCCCCAGACCTTGATGTCCTGGCACCCCTCATGTGAAAGGACACCGGGACAGTGGCTGGAGAGCTGGGCTCAGGGCCACCATGGCACTTGTACTGAGTCAGGGGCTCTGCAGGCCCACCAAGGTCTCTACCCTGTGCAGTGTCCCGTCGTAGGCACCCTGAAGGCCGCAATTCCAGGCAGGCACCTCAAGTCTCTGGCTCTTGCGGGAGGGGGAACCACTGGCAGCACCTGAGCCAGATGGTGGCGGTACTCCTGTTTCTGGAGGAGGAAGACCCATTGGCCTCTGGATGAACTCACGATGGATGATGCACATGCGCTGCACGGTGCCGGGGTGGGGGGCGGGAGGGGGGGTGGGGGGGTGGCGGGTGACAGCTGCATGTTGCCTGGGCTGAGGACCCCACCCAGTCCACTCCCATCAGGGAAGGTCACCCCAATCCCCATGTGTCCCCTCCTGGACCTTCAACTCCTATGGCCTCAGCTCTCCCTTGTCCACACAATTCTCAAAGCCCTGCATGAGAATTCTCACATCTGACCAACAGTCCAAACAATCCAGGGTCAGAGGAAGCGAAGCATCGCCCTATGTGCCCCTCACTGCCCCCAAGGTCAGGAAATGGCCATGCACCACCTATCACCCACCTGGGGGGCCTCCATGCCCAAGTTGCACCTATGAGGAGCACATCTGGGTCAGAATGTCTGCCTGAACCTCATGAAGGGGCACCAGGCAAATTGGGGCAGCAAGTGCAAGGGAGGGTGGGGGACACTGGGGTTCTCTGCCCCTATCGGCTTGGGCTTCAAGGGTAGGCCTGCTCCCTGGGAACCACATACCAACTGGGGCAGGGAGGGCCGTGGGCTTCTGAAAGTTAGGGTGTGGAAGAAGATTCAGCTGTGGACCCTGCTAGTGCCCCACCCCCATCCTCCTGGGGCAGGCTCCTATTTCGGGGTGTGGGGCCTTCTGGGTTTCATTAGCCATGAGTGTCTGAAACTGAGGCGCTTCCTGGTCCATCACGACCATACCATCGGTCTAACACTCCCCAGATTAAAACAGCACATGGTGAGCTGATGCTTGGCCCAGCTCCCTGCTGAACAAGAGGGCAGGGTGGGCATCCTCAGCCCAAGCGTCCTGCCCAGGGCCCATGAGTCGGGAGGCTAGTGGCCACTTGGACCATGAGCACCCTGTGCCCTGAACTTAGGACCAGGAACAGCTGCCCAGTTGGTCCTATGGGACACTGTGGTTCCTGCAGTGCTTCTTCCACAGGGTAAGGCCTGCCTGAGGGTGGCCAGGCGTAGCCCAGAGCTGGGGTGGCCAGGTCAACCCAGGGTGCAGACATGCCCTTGGACACACAGCATTGGGTACCTTCTTTGGGATGCAGTCCCACTATGTGGGGGATCCCTGCAGGCCCCAGGATAGCAGAATAACTGTCAGGCCTCGTCACCCCTCCTAGTTCAAGGGGATCCCATTTTCCAAGAGCCCTGTTCCTGGAAAATGAGTTTTTTTGTCTATCCAGATGAGAGGACGGAGGATGTTGACTCAGCTTGGTAGGATCATGGGGACCGCAGAGTCACTTGGGGGTGTTAGAGGTACAGGGGGCCCCCAGTGTGGCCTGCACACAGACACCCTTCCTGCTGACCTTGAGGTTATGGGATGCATTCATCATCCATGGGGAGTGGATGCTGACAAGCATGGCGTACACTTTGCTGAAGCTGCAAAGGTGTGTGTGCTGGGGTCCAGCACAATATTGCACACAAGGGCGTGTGTTTGTGCTGCGTGGTGAGTTTGCAGGACCCTGCAGAGAATGGCAGGAACGAGGGGCCCTCCCTGCGTGTATCCTTTGGCAACGACTGTGCCCAGGGCATCCTGGGCAGAGCAGAAGAAACAGGTGCCCTGAATGTGCCCGAGGTATGGGGTGAGGTGGGCCTGAGCCCCCAGGGTGGGAGAAGAGGAGGGGCTTGTAACTTAAATGCTTGCCTATGGACAAATGCTACTCAGGCTGCCCCAGGAGGGCATGTAGTATTTCCTGCACAATACCCTGGCCCAGCCCTGGGCCTGGGCTCACCCTAAGACTCAAATCCCCGAGCCACTCTTAAGTTTTCAGACCAAAATGCCACACTGGTCTGTTCCAAAGCACCCAGATGTTCTGCAGGAGGCGCCAGACACCCCAGAGGCAGAGGCAGCCACTGTGCCTGGTGAGCTGCCCACACCACAGCCTCCCCACCTCAGCCAGAGGCCATGATCAAGACCATCCTCTCACAACAGAGTCCTCAGGCACCTTCAGGCCTCCATGTTCTACCTCAGGAGGCTGAACTTGGACTCTCCCCACCATGTCAGCTCAAGCCAAGGTTCCTCCAGGCACATCCTCGTGGAGCAGTGAACCACAAGGGGAAGGCCTGGGCCCTGCCTGTCCCTTCCACTTCCCCTTTTCCTTGAGAAGCTTCAGGGCGCAGGACAGGGCTGGCACTCAGACACTGGGGATCAGAGCCAGAGAGCAGCCAGGCAGAAGCCCCCGGGACACAGGCCCATGGGCCTCGCCCGAGGAGGGCAAATGGATTGGGGCAGAAGTTGACCCAGTGTGCTCTCTTTCAGCTAAGGTACAGCCTATGATTTCCCCGCAGCAAATAAACTCTACAGAGCCCAGGCTGCAGGCCTCTTCCCAAGGCGATGGCTCTGGGGGTCGGAACCCTCCCTTCCAGTCATCCATGAGGTTACTAATAGATTACCCCAATCACTACCATTTTTTATGGATTTAAATGTACCTTATCCTTCTGCCTTGGCTTGGCTCACAGGACTACCCTGGCCCTGGCATACTGAGGGGACCATGAAGCCCCATCCTCCCCAGTCTGCTGGGCAGCAGGCTGCCAAGCCCAAGACACCCCTCCTGTCCTGTGATGCCCATAGTCCATGCCCCACCCAGGACTGTGACAGGCTCCAAATTCATGGAGCCAGAGTATCACTGGCAAGATGAAGGTCTGAGGCGGATCTGGCTACCTGGCGCCTTGTACCTGCCACACCTAGCCACTCAGCCAAGCTCAGGGTCAGTCGGACCAGTGCCCCAATATGCACACTTGGGTGGCAGCAGTCAGGTTTTCTTCCTGAGCAACCACCAGGCCACAAGCATTCGACCATGTTGAGCCTATTCTGGGAACTCACACCTCTACACTGACCAGCCTGGAGAGGCTCACTCTAGGTCTCAAATCCCCTGACCACTCTTAAGTTTTCAAACCAAAATACCAGACTGGTCTGTTCCTAAGCACCTAGATGCTCTGCAGGAGTTGCCAGACACACCAAAGGCAGAGGCAGTCACTGTGCCTGGTGAGCTGCCCACACCTCAGCCTCCCCACCTCAGCCAGAGGCCATGATCAAAACCATCCACTCACTCCTTGAGTCTGTGGGATGCCTGGTCAGCTGGGCCAGCACGGCTACAGCAGGGCTGGTGCGTGCGCCTCTGGTTCAGTCCAGGACAGTCTGTGCAAACCACGGTAGGAGGGTGTGGGGGCAACTCTATCCTCTGGCCTGACTAGGCTCCTATGGCCCTTCCTTCCTTCCCACCTTCCATCTCTTCCCCTGCCCTGCCCTGCTCCTGTACAGTGACAGTGAAGACCAGCAGAGAATCCAGACCGGACCCAGTGCCATCATCAGGTGAGCAGACACTTGCAGATGCTGCAACCGGCCATTCACATCTAGGATCTCAGTTTCACACCTTTTGCTGCTGGATCTTCCAGGACCTAGAAGAAAGGGTTGACTCAGCAGGGGGACCCTCAGGGGCCCAGTAGGGACCCTAGCAAGCACAGCAGATACCAACCCTCTCACACATCTGCACCTGCAAACAGAATGGGGATCTGTTCTTTGCTGTCCAATGCCCCACTCCACCTATCAGGCGGATCTCGTGGAGCAAGGGGTACCATAATTCTAGAACCAAACTTGAGGACACTATGCCCAGCTCCCATCTGAGCTACTGTCCTTTGTCTCCAACAACCCACTAGTGTCAGGGCTGAGGACCTGTGGGGCATTGTGGGAACAGACTGACTTGCCCCAGGGTCACTGCCCCAGCCTGGTTCAGGGCAACTCTCTACCTCCCCCTGGAGTTGTGTCAGCCCAGACCCCGGCCCTGGCCTACCTCACTCCCACAGGGATCCTGAGGGACCCAGAGGGTCCCTGAACTGGAGGCAGGGTCAAAGACGCTGACTTGGGTCTGGCCAGCTGTGGGGAGGGAGCCTCTCACCTGCTGCATCCTGGTCTGGGTCTCCATGAAGGGGCTGCCATGACTGAGGACCAGCTCCTGTGCCTGCTGAGACACCTGGGTGTGCACAGCCAGGTCGTAACTGTCCAAGACCAGGGGCCTCCCTGGTGGTGAAAGTGGTTGAGCACAGCGCTGTGAAGCTGTCCGCAGCCTCGGCAGCACAAGTTCAATCCCCAGCAGGCCAGGGAGCTACCCACATGGCGCAGGAGACCTCTCCTGACTTGCCTGCTGCTCCCCTCAGCACTTGAGTCTATCTGCCTGTTCTGTTCCCCACTCTGTCTCTGGTGGATCCTGTCACCTCCTGCACCTCTGGCCTGGACCCCAGTTCTTGTATGCATAAATAAATTAAAAAAAAAAAAAGACCAGCACAGCAGGCACATCATCTGAGCCTTCATCTTCATTGGTCTTCTCCTTGCAGAGGGGAAGGTGTGACCTGGCTGGCCAGTCCCACTGCACGCAGGCCACTCACAAGGCAGCAGGGAGGCCCCTGGCTCGGCAGCAGCTCACCTGTTCAGGTGGATGTCCCGAGACAACCTGGTGTTGCTGAAGGGAACACAGCAGGAGGCCCTCACCAGTGTGTGCGTCCTGGTCTAGCCTGGCGCTGGCCACTATGTCCGGGATGTCCAGCAGCACGTCTCCCCACCCGTCTCCACTAGTCTCCACAGGAGCCCTGGGGAACACACTGCTCAGGGCCCCACCTCCCGGGAAGGAGCTCTGCCAGGCCCCGGTTCCCCTGCTCGGTCAGTGCAGGCAGCGGAAGAAACGCCACATCACAGCCCAGGGCTGAGGGGCCTGGGCAGAATCATCCACTCACCTGGATGGGGTGTCTTATTGTCCACGAAGTGGCTCTGGAGGAGCTGGGGGGGGCACTTCCCTAGGCCTCCTGTGCCCACCTCTGGGCTCCTGAAGGTGCTGAACCCGGGCAGCTGGTGATCTCTGGTCCCACCTGCAGAGGAGTTGAGGCCCAGTCAGCCCAGACCCCACAGGGCTGCCGGCCCTGACCTCCCGGCCCAGACATCTGGGTAACGGGGTGACCTCCAAGGGGTTGGCCCAGCTGCTCCCCGGGGTACCCCCAGTCCAGGGTGGAGCCCCCACTCCAGCTGCACTGAGTGTGAGGGGGGAGATGAGCGCCCAAAGCAGGGCCCAACCCGCATCTCCCCACGCACAGATCAGAAGCTGCTGGACCCAGAAATCCTGAACTGGAGGGTCCGCGGGCTGCGCTTGCCAGTGCCCCCTTCACACTCTCCCTCGGGGGCCCCAGCCCCTCAAACCCTCCTCCTCCTCTCAGGTGGCTCTAATTCCTCCCACCCCAGCCCGCACCCCCTCACGTCCCCCTTTCTCATACCCGCACACCCCGCACCCCGCAGCTCCCCTCCCCTCACAGAAGCGCGTCGCTTATGTCCCCCACGAATTCTGATGACCGTTTAGAAACCGCCGCCCCCCCCCCCCCCCCATGTCCCCACGACGCAGCTCTGCCCTCAGGAGAAGCCGCGGGGTCGGGGCCTCGGGGTCCCCCGGGGGGCGGAGCGGGGCGCGGCCAAGGAGGAGCCGGGGCGGGGCTTCCGTCCGGCGGAGCGGCCAGAGCCGGCGCCCTCGGGAGCCCCCAGAGGGCCCGGGGCGCGGGGCTGTCGGGACCGGCTCCGGCACCTGCCTCAGTCCGAGGAGGGCGAGGAGCGCCCCGACCGGCTGGGCGGGCGTCCGGGGTGCCGTGAGGGACCCCCGGGCTGCTGAGGTTGCACCGCGGGGGCCGCTGGGAGAGGGGCGCAGCGGGCTCTGGCCCTTAAACTGCCGCGGGGGGAGGGGGGCTCCCCGATGGCGCGGGGGGAGGGGGGCTCCCCGATGGCGCGGGGGAAGGGAGGGTTCCCCGGTGGGGGGGGGGGGGGGGGGGAGGGGGATCTCCCCGGTGGCGCGGAGGGGGGCTCCCCGGTGGCGCGGGATGGGGGGGGGCGCTCCCTGGTGGCTCGGGGGTCAGGCCTCAGCGCTGTGGAGCTATTGCCAGCCACTGCGGCATTTTCCACCCCAGGCCGGGGAGCTACCCAACGAGGTGCGCAGCCCTCTCCGGTCTCACCCAGATAAATAAACTGCCGCTGGGGCTCCCAGGGGCCCGCCGTAATGGGGGCGGGTCTTCCTGCAGACGGTGATCCTGCAGAGACAGAGGCTGGGTGGGGGTGGATACACAGAGATGCTGCCCTGTGACTTATAAGCTCTTATTCCCCCATGATTTCTCCGACTCCCCAGCTCTGAGAGATGGTTTTCTTTCCGAATTACAGTCTCCTCCTGAAACCATCCACAGGGGCGCAGCACTCCTTTGCTGATTTAGTTTAACTCTACGCGAACTGGGAGCTGCTCTCGGGATAAGACCTCCCCGTTCCCCAGAAAGATCTGCCAAAGCCCTACAAGCCCACATCCGAGCAGGCCTTAGAGTCCTGTCGCCCTTCCCTCTCCCAAGAGCCCTGGCAACCAAGAGATGCAGGGTACCCTCCCCTGTCTTCTTCCCCATAGATGCATTGCCAGGTATACGAGGGGATTCACCCACAATTGGGGGGGTGGTGTCATGTTTGGTCTCTCCTGCCGGGGTTGGACCAAGTGAAGGTGGAGAACAAGGGAGTATGAGGCAGAGCCCCATGTGCTGGGGCAGAGCTGGCTCACAGGAGCTGAATTCTGCAATGTGGGGGGTCATGATCCTGGGCCCTCAGTTCCGACAGGCCCTGGTCCCTCCTATCTAAAGGCCCTGTCACCTCCCTGTCACACATGGAAAGAGGAGTCAGCTGACATTAAGTGGGCTCCAGAAAGCTAGTGAGAAAAATGTAGCCGCTATTACTAATTGTATAAAAAAAAAAAAAAAAGCAGCTCTCAGTAACATGAGAGTAGAAGTAATCTATTTTTAAAAATGTATAGCAAAGCCATAAATCATAAGTGACCTTCAAATGCTCAAGTCATTTCCATTAAAATCAGGAAGGAAAAAACATACCTGCTGCTCTATCGTCTGTGATTCTGAATGGCTTGGGAGTTTTTAGTGATAGAATCAGACAGGATAACCCAAGTAAGGGTTACACAGATAAAAAAAGAAGCAGCAAAATTCTCTTCATTTGCAGCTGATAGGATTCTATACTTCGAAATACAAAATAAACTATTACCTAAAAACCTATTTATAATGGGTTTCTTTTTTTTTTTTCTTTTAAAGATTTATTTATTTATTTATACAAGCACTGGGTACAGTCAGAAGCGCGGGAGGGGGAGAGAATTCACCAGAGCAGAGCGGGGAGCAGAGCAGGCAGAAGGACCGAAGTACACTGCTGAGGGGAGCAGCGGGCGGCAGGAGAGGTCTGCGCGCCATGCGGGACCCTCCTCTGGTGGCCGGGGAGCAGCCGGGGATCGAACCCGCGTTGCAGAGGCTGCGGGCAGCTTCGCAACCCAGCGCTCAACAGCTGCGCCACCGGGGAGACCCTATAATCGGTTTCTAAAAAAACTATTACTCCAAATTATAAAGCAAACTAGAAAGGGTACTGGGTTCAAGCGAACAGGCAAAGGTAGAAAAACGTCCTGTAGATAGGCAACACTGTGTTCAAGTGGAAAACAGTTATGTAGTTGGGTCTCTACGGACGCCCAAACATCCACAAGTGGGTGTCAGGGCTGTGGGCCCCAAGATCCTCCTGAATGCCTTCAGCATCTGGAGAATGACTAGCAGGCTGGGCAGCCCTCCCATTCCCAAATGGGCGGGGGCGGGAGGGGGGTGCAGCAGCCTGGCTGATGCCAAATGAATACTTGCTGAAAGAGTGAGGGGGCCAGTGAAGAAGGAAGATGAAGAGTGTGTGCCTGCTGTGAGGAGGGCATGGGGGCGAGGCCCAGCAACCTCCCTACCTCCCGAGGGCCCTGGGATGGGCAGTGTCCTGGGAGTTCCCTGGACAGGCCCCGCCAGAGGAAGTGGGGAGGATAGTGCAGTGGTGTGCAGAGGCACCCCAAGCCCAGAGGAGGAATGGAAAGGCTTGTGAAAAGGGTGGGGTTCTGGGGCCTGGAAGGAGGCAGAGGGATGAGCATGACCACAGGGCTAGAGGACACACAGATCTGGACCACATCCCGCTCTGGCCTGACCCTGGAGCCCTGGGCTCTGTCTCTGCAGGAACTCTCCTTTTCCTCTGTAAGGAAGGTGGGGGCAGGGGTGGTGCTGTGTTTCTCAAGCTGCTCTGGCTCAACCCATAGCCTCTGAAAGCGCTGGGCAATGTCCTCTCCCCCCACATTAAGGAGAGCGACCTGGACATGAGCCACTGCTTCAGAGAGCATGTCACGTGCAGGGAATGCCACGGCATCACGTGAGGCTGCTGGGCAACAGGGCAGAGGGCCAGGGCCCACGGTGGCCAGGGTTCTGGAGCGGGGTGGGGGGGGGGGTTGTGGTGGGATTTAGGTCTGGGGACACTCAGGGGGCCTCACAGGGGTTGAGGGTTACTCAGGAGGACAGAGGGTAGACTCAGAGGCCCAAAGGTGCTCCAGGGACTCAGTTACTTAGAGGAACTTGGGGGTCTCAGAAAGGGTGGGAGGGTAGGTGGGGGTCCTAGGAGAAGATTCAGGGTTCCCTGGAGAACATAGGGGTACAAGGAAAACTGGAAGAATTCTGAAGTCCTGGCAGGGACTTGGACCTCCATGGAACAGTAGAGGTAGGCGGGTGTGAGGGACACGGCCCACTGCCCCCATCAGCATGGGCTTCAAGGACAGGCTGCTCCCTGGGAACCACATGGGTGGTTGGGGATGACTGTGGCTGTCTGATGGGTGAGTGAGAGGAAGAGGCAGGAACATTTGGCTCGGGCAGGGAAATCGCCATCTTTTCCCAGCAGCTACCGCTGCTTAGGCAGTGTCCACACTGCTGGGCCCTGGTGTCTTTATCAGGCCCCTCAGAAGGGACAAGAGGATCTCCTTTGGCATGAGGCAACCCTTTATCGTGGCCCCAAGGATGGGGCACCACGCATCAAGCTAAACTGCTAGATTAAAGACTAAGGGAGGACTCGTGCCACAGTAATTTTTGTGTTCAGGCCCCCACTGTCATTTCTGCTTCGACAGCTGGATTCACAGTCTCCCCTCCCCCACCCCTGCTTTATTGAGACAGAATTGGCATACATCACTAGGAAAGTTTAAAATGTATAGTATAATGACTTGGCTTACAAGTATTGCAATGAACTTGTCACAGTAAGTTCAGTCAGCATCCATTACCTCACATAGACACAAAAGAAAGAAAACGTTTTTTCCCCTGTGGTGAGAACTCTGAGGATCTACTCTTAACAGTTTCCAATATACCATCCAGCTGTCATCACACTGTCCATTCACGTCCCCGAGACTTATTATCCTTTTAACTGAAAGTGTCTTTTGACCTGGGTTTCCGCTCTTGTTCTTAAATTCTTTGCCTTCCTCCATCTCTATACTGCCAGCATTCTCCAGGCCCTGCCTCGGCTCCACTCCTTTCTCTCTGAGCAAGTAAAAACAAATAACCAAGCAGTGAGCTTTGACTATAGCCCAGGAACTATGCCAGGGAACGGGAAGCAAATGGGGAAACTGTCACCACAGTTGGGTATGGATTTGTTGTGGGTGGAGTGTGTGTGTGTGTGTGTGTGTGTGTGTGTGTAGTGAATGAATGTATGATTGTCTGGCAATAAAAGGAGCTCAGTGATCTCAATTAGCCTATGACATAAATGGTCCCTACCTCTCCCATGGGGAGGGGGAAATGGAGGTTGAAAGTCTCCCTTATTTTTCTTTCTCCAGGTCCCTATCTTGTTGGAGCAGTCAGGTGCAGATGAGGGGCCACACTCCATCCCCTGATGTCAGGACACCACCACACTGGACTGGATGACACCCATGCAGCCTGAACTCTGCCCTTGACATCCTGAATGAGGGGGCTGCTGGGAAGGGAGCAGAGCTGAATAGGCTTTTTGTGGTGCTGGGAGGCAGCTGGGAGGCAGCAAGTCCCCTGTTGGGGACCAGGACACCGGAGGGTCTTTAGTGTCTCTTGAGAAAAGAATTTCATGAAGCACCAGAATGAAGCCAGCAACAAGGTTTATTAGGGAGCCACAGGACTAGACAATGGAGGGGCAGAGAAGCAGGAGAGCTGCCCTGAGCAGGAAAGCAGTAAGGCTTTGAAGGTTTTGTCCTTTCTGAGTTGGGGGGGGGGGGGTCCCTCTTATGCATACTCTGCGCCCATCACTCCTCCGATCCCTGGACTAATTGGAACTACCCCTCCTTCCCTCTTTTCGAGTGGTGGTATTGGGAATGGGGAGGTTTGAACCATAGTTAAAAGACTCTCCCCAGGCCTCACAGACCTGCCAGAACTTATCTGGCAGGGAGCTAGACCACATTAAATCAACAGAAGTCAAAAACACTCAAAGCAACTTAAGGAAGTTGCGTCAGATTCTACAGGCCTCCTCTGCACTGTT